ACAATTAAAAACTGTCAATTACTTACTTTATCATTTTTTCACCTTCGTCGTAACGTTCGAAAATATCGATAATATATGCATAACTACTATCTTTCTTTCTTTCTTTCTTTCTTTCTTCGTCTAATGAAATATTGATTATCCTTCGATTACAATTTTAAATCCTAAAAATCTACGAATGATAAATCACTAAAATTGCCTGATATAACGTAGATCTAATATTTTTTCTTTTTATTTATATTCTTGAGTATTAATTAAATCCAAATTTTCTTTCTAACGTAATCGATATAATAATACAATCGATTCTCTTCAAATCACGTTTACTTTGATGCACCCAAATCCTTACTTGTCTCTATTTTCGTATTTTCTTTCTGATTTGATTTTTTGAATATTCTCAAGGAGGACGGTAAAACGAGTCCTTTGTTTAATTTAGTTTTTCGTTAATTAACGCGAATAAATGATTGATTCGCATGGTGATTGATTCATTTATGTTATAATTCTGTTTTTGTTTTTTTTGTTTTTTTGAAGGGGGAAATCGAAAACGCGACTATGTTTAATTCATTATCATTTACGTATATATAATAATAATAATATCCTTTTTCTAATCGAACGTATCGCGTGCAATTATTATGCATTAGCATGGCTCGTAATTTTTCTATTTGCATTTTGAAATAATTTTCTTCTATTTTTTTTTTTTTTTTTTTATTCAACGACGTTACCCCTACATTATTATTAATATTATTATTATTATTATTATTATTATTATTATTATTATTAATATTAATAATATTATTATTGTTATTATTATTTTTTCACTATTGTTAGATCACTTTTCTGTTTCTCGTTCTTATCTTTTTTAGATTTTTAATTATCTTTACGGTGATTTCATTCACCTAATCGCAAAACTTGTTCAACTTTCCCGTTTCTCGATAACGTCTCGTTTCTTTATTTATATTTAATTATATTTTGAATAATTCTTTTTTGTTTTTGTTTAATGGTGTTTTGACAGTTTGCACGCGTAAAAACGTCACGGCAGACCGCATCGATAGTACCGGCGTTGAATTTTTTCTTTTTGTTGTTGATTTTTTTCTTTTTTTTCTTTTTTTCTTTTCTTTTCTTACGAAAGGCAAATAATTATTAAATAGATCTCGCGAGTATAATATTTATATCGCGAGTTTTGCAAATGTGAATTCGAATTAATAAAAAATTGTGTGACGACTAACTTTTGTTAGAGATTATTCAATCTGTAAATTTGTAAAGTAATTCAAATTGGTGATTGGCTGAAATTCGGACGATCTACGCGAGATATAATCGTAAAATGGCAGTCATCGCGATTCCACGACGTTACTTTATAATTTTTTTTTTAATTTTTTGGAGTTTTTCTTTTCCGAGTCCGTAAAAAATAGAGCGAAAACTTTGAAGATAACGCAGTTTATTTTCTTATTCTTATCATCACCATTTCTATTTTTGGTTACTGTGTTGTTTTACTTGTAGTTGTAGTTGTAGTTACAGTTGTGTAATTAATTTCTGTCACTTATTATTATTTTGCTCTAATCTTGTGCTCGTATATTTATTTTCGTTTAACCTTTCTTTTTTTTTTTTTTTTTTTAAACCGGTTTTAATCGAAATCATTTAGCCGTGGATTAAATCTAAATATCGATTTAGGGTAAAATATCGAACGACTAATGGACTCGTTCACCGAACAAGATGTATAATAATGTAATTGTCATCCTGTTTGATTTTTATTTTATTTTCTTGCATATTAGATTTCTTTTATCTTTATTTTTCCCACTCTTCATTCGTTCATCCCCTTTGTGCATTTATTCTTCCTCTTCTCCTCTCGTTAATATTTATTTACGATTATAATGTCTTTTATCATTTTCCCTTTTTTTCTTTTTTCATATTTTAATCTCATTTCAATGAAATTGTCGAAAAGTTTAGAAGAATCAAACTACGACGTTTGATTCGTAAAAACATACACGTTGTTAATAAATAATGTCATATACATATACGCACATATATATTATTCCTCACGCGATAATTAGACGTAACAATACTGCATACAATTTTCTATAATTCATCATCATTCGAGATGTCACGTCTGTGTGTGTGTGTGTGTGTGTTAGTTTATGTGAAATCATTTCCGATATTCGTGTCTCTCGACACGTGCGATCATTTATTACGCATATACGTGAAAATTTATGTATGTAAATAAGTAGTATAGGAACGAACGATGTGTATGCAATATCGAGACGTCAATTAGAAAACATAATTATATCAGAATTGATTAGGTACGGCCAATAATAATATATTTGTTATTTCGAATTTGTCACTCTCTCTCTCTCTCTCCCTCTCTCTCTCCCTCTCTCTCTCTCTCTATTGAAAAGAAATATTTTCTTCTTCTTATTCTTCTTGGTTTTTTTTTTTTTTATAAATATAAATAAAAGAAAATAAATGAAAATAAAAATAAACTTATAGAAAATATTAATGTTTATAGTTCACTTGCAATAACAATAACGAACGCCACTGCCTCTAAAATTATTTTGCCCGTATTAGTTTTCTTTATTTATGTGTGTGTATGTTGAGATTTTCTTTTTGCCAATTTCAATTAATTTTCCCTTTTCATTCTTTTCTATACTTTTCTCAATATCTTTCTCGTTCATTCACGCAAATTATCTCTCTCTCTCTCTCTGTCTCTCTCTCGTTCTTTCTTTCTTTCTTTCTTACTTTTTATTAACACAGCCGCACACGAATCTCAATGAAATCTATACCACCCTTTACTTAAATCGATAAAACGTATTTTTGGAACGTACCTCAGCCACATAAATCAATATTTCGATCAATTAATTATTATTATTATTATTATTATTATTATTATTATTATTATTATTATTATTATTATTATTATTATTATTATATTCGACAATAATGAATTAGCATTATCGGATAATTATAAATTTTCCCGTTGGTCCTTTAGCCCTTCCTTGCAACCCCATTTTCGTGCTTCTCCTTCGTTTATCTCATCGATTTCTTTTTTTTTCTTTAGTGGAGAAACTCGAAAGGGGGATGAAAGGATTGGACAGGCAAGAAAATTTTGTCTTCGTGTGTCCTTTATTAATAAACGGATAAATTTTTTATCGCGGTTTTTTTCCGTCATCTATTTATCTCATTTTCTCTCTTTCTCTCTCTCTCTCTCTCTCTCTCTCTCACTCTCACTCTCTCATTTATGTCTTTTCTTCTCTCCCAAGTAGTTATAATCCCTTTTCAAAACCTCTTTCTCTTTCTATCTATCCGTTATCTTTTCTTTTTCCCTTTTTTGTTATTATTATTATTATTATATTTTTTTCATTTATTTATTTATTTATTTATTTATTTTGAACACTGGAGTCGGTGGTGTGAGGGGTGGATTCACGCGCGAGGAATGCTTTCGTCCGACGTGCCCGATGACGAATTTCCTGACACTGTTCTTGTTCTTTTTTTTTTCTCTTTCTTTTTAATCCTTTTTTTTCTATTCTCTTTTTAATTTTACTGTTTATTTTTTTATTTTGTTAAGCGGCTGTCTTTTTCTCACATACGTTCTCTCCCTCTCTCTCTCTCTCTCTCTTTTTCTTTCTCTCTTTCTTTCTCCAAAACGCATACATTTAACCACAAACACAAACATACACGTATACTCATCCATACATACATACATACATACATACACACACACACACACACACGCACATACACGTGCAGGCTTACACGCAATCTTTGTTTTCTTTTTTTTTCTTGTTAGTTATCTCACCTTTTCACATGCATTCGTACATTCGTGCTCGAACTCGAACAATTCTTTCTTTTCATTCGTTTCTTATCTACCTTTTTCTTTTTACCTGTCTCCCGTTCCCTCTACGCCCTTCCCTCCCTTTCCCTCCCACCCACTCGTTTTTTTCTCTCTCTACCTTCTCCTCGCAAATATTTCCTCCCCTCTTCCCTCCGTTCGTTTTATCCTTCTCCTCCTCCTCCTCCTCCTCCTAATAATAATAATCCCAAACGATGATGCACTAATTATTTTCTTAACGTCTCCCTCTCACGTTTTCTTTTCTTTTCTTATACTCCTCCTCCTCCTCCTCCTCCTCCTCTTCTTACCCTGAACACGTCGTCGTCTTCCAGACTTCGTTTCGCACGGAAGAAGAAGCCGCTCGCTGTCGTACCGATCGGTCGTCAGACGTTGATAATTCGTCGAAAAATCCCTTTTTTATTTTATTTATTCTCTTCTTTTCTTCTACCCTCTCCTCCCTCCTATCATCAACCCTTATTTTCACATTTACTTAATCCCTTCACCTATTTTCTCACCTATCGTTTTGTTGTTTTCTTTTTTTTTTTCCTTTAAATTCTCCTCTCCTTTCTTTAATCCGCCTATTAATTTTTTTTTTCTTTTGTTATTATTATTATTATTATTATTTTTAATTGTTGTCTTCTTCTTTTTTTTTTATTCTTGCCTAGTTTATTATTATTATTTTTTGCTTTGTTTTTTTAATTTTTGAAATTTTCTTTCTTGTTATTGTTATTGTTGTTGTTGTTGTTGTTGTTGTTGTTGCTGTTGTTGTTGTTGTTATTGTTGATTTTAGTTGGTTTTTCTTCCTTTCTCTTACTCTCTCTCACACTTTCTTTTTCTTTCTCTTTCTTTCTCCTTCTTTCTTTTTCTATTCCGATTTGTCTTTTTCTGAATGGCTATTGGACTGGAAGCACCCCTCGTATTGACGAACTGGACACGGATCGAACGCGCTTGCGCACGATCTGAACGCCGATTGCGCGCCACGCGCACTGCGCAAACACGCGCCTCTCGCGTGTGGTTCGTTTGCGCGCGCGCACGCGTCCGCGCTATACACGACGGATTATCTTTTTTGTTTTTGTTTTGTTTTATTTTTTTTTTTTATGTTATACTTTTATTTATTTGTTTAACCTTTTTTTTTCTTTCTCTTTTATTTTTTTATTTTTGTGTGTTTGTGTGTGATTCATTATTATTTTGTTTTTTTTTTTTATTATGAAGGAGGTCTACGTTAGGCACCGTAGGGAGTTACAGCTGTTCTTCGACAACTGTCCCAACATCGGCCACCACGCTGCCACCGTCTCCTTCACTGTAAAAAACAATTATCAATTTAATGTACAACTTTTTTTTTTTTTTAATTATAATTAATATTTTTATAAGAATATATGAGAGCATAGCGTATAGAGATTGGTTTGACCAATGAGTATCCAATAATATCGTCGACATTTGGTTTTTTGTTTAATATGTTTCGTACCAAGTCCTTTTTACCTGACTTGTCATTTAGACCATTTAATTTTGCTTTAACAAAATTAACCATTACATGTAATTATTAATTATTATTAATATAACAATTAAACAAATTTATGTGCTTTGTTTTATACTGCCTTTTGTATAATTCGTCAATATTTTAATAGAAATATTCATTCACCAATGGTACACGTAGCCTGAAGAACAAGTTTAACATGTAACATCGGTGGTACACGTGGCATGGAACGTGTTAAATTAACAAAGGCTTCTGAATGTTCATGTCACATGTTTATTTTTTCTTCTTTTTTTCTTTTACTTATTGGTCAGTCTCATGTTTTATTAGGTTGACCAATGAGTATCAAGTCAAGTTGACATTTTCTTTTTCAATTGACCATGGTAGATAATTGACAGAAGAATTTTTCATTGAATATCTTTGATTTATCGGTCAATCTAATAAAATTTCTAATCTTATAAAATTGATAAGAAATGGATGATCTTTTTACCTAGTAGTCAGACGTCAGTCTCGATGCTCATGCAGGCTGGATTAATATTATTATTGTGGCGAGGGTTGCAGTTGGGCTTCTTCGTCATATCTGGTTGTGCCAGTAGAATACCTTCTTCCAGCTCCATTATATCCGACGACGACTCCGACATCGAGCTCTTCTTCATGTGCTGACCTATATTTATTTATTCAATAAAATCATTTCAAAGAATTCATTAAAATGTTTTTTATTATTTACAGGTTAACATGAAAATCAAATATTTTTTTATATATATTAGGGTTGAAACAAAAGTTTGAGAATTTATTACGTTGAAACTTCATTTTGAAAATTGAAAACAATGAATTGTTTTCTTTTTGTAAAATTTATTTTATCAAATGTTAATATATAAAAAGGTGGACTAATTTTTGGTTCATCCTATTATGTTATATTTTTTTAGTAAAATTTACTATGTCAAATATTAATATAAAAAAAAGGTTTAGGTTCACGTTATTATAAAATATTATTTTCTTTTTTTTTTGTAGAATTTATTATATATAAATAAGAAAAAAATATAATATAATAATTATTATAAAAAAATAATATACAATATGAAATAATTAATATAAAAAAAGGTACACACCAACTTTAAGTTCACCCTACTATATATTATATTATATTTTTCTTTTTGCAGAATTTACTATGTCAAATATAGAATATATAAATAAAATAAAATATAATAATTAATATAAAAAAAGGTACAACCAACTTTTGGTTAACCCTATTATATTATATCTTTTTTTTTTTTTTTGGTAGAATTTACTGTGTCAAATGTGTTAATATAAGAAAAGGTGTACACTAAGTTTTACTTCATCCTAATATATCTTTAGTTTATTAATTTTTTTCCTTACCTAACGTGCCAGGGAGATATGGACAGCTAGTCACATGATTGAAATTCTGTGACTGCATTTCTTCCTGGTCAGTCTCACGGTGATAGAAGTAGTTGAAGTTGGAGACGATGACGGGGACGGGTAACGCGATCGTCAATACACCCGCGATCGCACATAGGGAACCAACGATTTTCCCCCAGACTCCCACGGGCCTGTAACATAAAAATTATACGACTCGATTCGGCAACGTAATTGGGTGCGAAGAGCGTGTAAAAGGTCATTCTTGTATATATGCTTTGGTGCTAGGTGTGGTGTCACTAAATTTGTGTGAGTTTCTGCGGTGTCGAGTCGAGTGTGGCTCTCTACTTTATGCGGTATGTTTTTGGACTCGTACACTGGGTGTCACTTTTCAATTTATAATCAACCATAAATTTTAACTATTTTATTTATTTATATTTTCATTTCATTTTTATTATATTTTACTTTTTTTTTTTTAGAATTATTTTTATCCTATTATGTTCAGGACAGGTATTTATTTATTGATAATATATCATATGTGTATATATATATAAATATTTTTTATTTTTAATAATATCTTTAATATTAATTATAAAATTAAAAAATTATTTTTATAATAATATAATATACAAATATATATAAATAACCATATGTTTTTATACAATTATAATTCGTCAAATTATTTTTAAAACAAAATTGCATTTATTACCAATACTTTTTGATATATTATTCTATAGATACTGCAAAAAAAAAAAAAAATTAAAAAACAACATACTTTTCTCAAATTATTTTCATTGAAAAAAATTAATTTTTTTACACCACAGTTTTGTGTTCATTTGAGAATAATTTTTGAGTACTCTGTACGACAGATTAAATGTTTGTTAAGAATCAGATTATTTTAGAAGATGTTGAGAGGTGTTTTTGATTATTTCAAGGAATGATATATTTTAATTATTGATTATTAATTGAAAAGTTAAACCCTATTTGTACATACCGACCGTCTCCGTGTTGACTTCGCAGCACTTAATAAAACGACCGTATGTACATATAAATTTGCAATACTCGTCCAATTTGAAAGCTGCCGGCTCTTTAGACTACTAGACTAAAGGACCAAATTTTAGGGCTCGCTAAATAGGCTTTTCTTCATAATGCGCGATCTATTATGCTCTATCGCGATATACGATTTAAGATAAAGGATATTAAAATAGCCATTACGTGCTGGTGATCCTTCTAAATTACGCGAAGCTTCGGTGTCAAAATTATATTTTATATGTATACATATATTTATATAAATATAATATATATATATTTATATATAATTTATATAAAGAAAAATATACATATAAATGAAAAATATAATAGAAAAATCGAAAATTCATTCATTCGGGCAAAGAAAATAAATGATTTCATCTTGCTTTGGATATATCGTTGATACTTGAGAAAATTATCAAAGAATTGCATTCTGTAAATATTTTATCTACAAGAAAGATTTTTGTTTGTTTGTTTGTTTGTTTGTATAATAATTAAAATAATTTCATTATTTAATATTTTACTTCATTTACTGGATTCGTACATGCAAAAGATTTATTCTATGAAAGAAAGGTAATATAATCTTGTTGTAGATAAAAATTATTCAAAATGTATCTTTGGCGCATATTTGCAAAATAATCTTTAAACTATCATCGAAGTGATATGGAACAAATATATATATATATATATATATAAAGAACACTTTTTTTTATTTTGTTTGCTAATGTTATAATTTCATTCTTCATTTTGTATAAACAATTGTGAATAAATTTGATTAATAATGATCACTTCTGTTAGTTAATGATAATCTGCACTTATGCGCGAATTTTTCTTTTTTTTTTTCTAATATAATGTATTAAATATTGTAATAAATAATTCAGTTGCATCAAGTATCAGTTTTGTGAAATAAATCATTCCTGCAGGTGTCACTGTACTATGGGCCTTCGTGATCCATGGCTGATGGCGCATAAAAAATGATGATGGTATCAAGTATAAAAGGAAAAAATTAGGGGGTTTTTAATATAATACTAATGATCAATAAATGATAATAATTCTTGATTAAGATAAGAATACAAGTAGTTGAAAAAATTAGAAATTCAGCGAGACATGCCGGGCACTATCAGGCAGAAGACTTTTCACGCATGCATGGGATGTATCTCTCTCTTTACTTTGTTTTTCAATTTTTTATTTATTTATTTATTTATTTATTTATTTTTTTTTTTTTTTTAAAAGATGTATATAAATATTATCTTAATTTAAATTTAAATATTTTTTTCTTTTATTGAATAACAAATGCATGTGTGTGTTTTTTCTTTCTAATTATTATTTTGGAAAAGAAATTACTTGAAAAAATCTTGTTAGAATAAATTGAAATATTGATAAACTTTTGTATTTTGTTAAATCCACGACACACGCAAAAGGGATGCTATTATTGGATTAATTGTAACTCAAATGAAATCAAAATAAGAAGATTAAAAAAAGTCAAAAATGTATTTTTCAAAAGAATATAACGGTGTGTTATGTGGGAGAAAAATAACAAAACAAAATAATCAAAGATAAGAAACAGATTAAAAAAAAAACAAGAAATAAAACTCAAATTGTGATTAAACTTGTGGATTTTGAAATGGGATAAATAAGATTGGAATATCTTTGATAAAAAATTGATAAAAAGGAATTGATTAAAATCTTTCAGAGATTTAGGATTTAGATTTCAAGAGGGATAGGAGGATGGAAGATTAGGATTAATTCATCGAAAATTGGAATTTATTTGTCGGTTTTGCATTGACGAATTAAATAAAAAATTAAAAAAGATAAATTTCAAATTTGATAAACCCCTCAACTATTTTGTCCAATAATAATAATAATAATAATAATAATAATAATAATAATAATAATAATAATAATAATAATAATAATAATATAA